TGGATGTTCCCACAATAATAATACGGAGTCTAATTCCAGTCGCTGGATTAGTCTATACACCATGAGTAAATCTAATACTTCTTTAGTTTTAGCAACGTCCCGCTATGGGGTGTATACATTTAACCACATATGCCTGAATATGATGAGATACAGGGAACAGTTAAAGCTACTAATTTTAATATCTATATTAAGATATACTTTGTCTCGCTGAATATTATATAAAAGAAAAAGTCATCGTCGTTGTCATCATAGTTGCACATTCGTGGTGAAAAGAGTAGAACTCCAAACACTGCAAACAAAAGCAACTCCTTATAGATATTGTAGGCCAATACATAAAGTTCAAAAGCACCCACGCTGCATAAATATAACATCATGACTGACTCTCAAACAAAATTTTATGTTACTCATAAAAAGGGAACGGCTGTAATTTTGTTTTTAAAAAAGTTCTTAAGAGGAGACATACAGCTTCACGCCTCATGGCCTCCCTTCTGTGTCATTCTTTGCGTATCAAAATTACATCGTAACTTTATGTATAAATCAAGCGAACGTCTGTGAATGAAACAGACATCCGTAATGCCTTGCAGATAAAACAAAATTTCCATAAACCTTTTCATATTGTCTTCTATTTCACGGGAGGTAAATGTATCGGGAAAATATCCCTCATCCCTTACTTTTCAATGTGGCTGCATGCACATTTAGAATATAATGTTGCTGCATGAAAAGGTGATCCCTGTTTGACTTTGAGAGGCACGTGTTATGAATGGCTGCAGGTTGCACTCACGATTTTGTGATAGTAAACGGCTGGAAATAGAAAACCCATAAAAAGGCTGGCAGCTGTGTTTCTAGAAGGATTGGACTAGTACGGGACTTTGATCTTCGCGACCCCCTTGAAACTCGATGATGGAGACGAAAGACGATGGAGGAAGTTGGTCTGGACTGAGGAGATGCTATGAAGCTGAATTCAATTCCGGAAGAGACAGTATGTTAACTGAGTCTTCAGAAATGGCGTTACCGGGGTACATTTGCAGGGGGCAATCGATGCCCCAGTGCGTACTATAAAAAACAGATGCGCGGGCTCCCTGGACAACTACGTCATACTCTTTTAGAGGACGAAGTTACAAGCCCTGATATTCTTGTCGAGTGAATGGTAAAACATCAATTTCTGGTCCTAGTTTATGATGACATTCATAATGGTTTGTTTGTAGAACCGTGCCTGTACGAGCGACTGTGTATGCGCAAACAAAGCAGTACGCGTTTCAGAGTTCTTAAAAGTAAACGCCACCTTGAGACTGCATGGCCTGAACTTGTATGGAATTGACAAGAAACCTGAAAAAGAACTATAATACAGAAACACCTTTTGGAGAACAGAAAACCTTCAAAAATTAAATTAAAGGCTGGATTATACAGTTTTTCCCTGAATTTAGAGAATAGAAATAGAAAAGCCGAAATAAAAATACTACAAAATAAATGATTTACGATGGTAAAGTCAGTACCTAACTGCACCGTTTCCCATTATACAAGTCATTCATGTAAGGCACAGGGGTTTTGTCCTAATTCTTTGTGTGTGGCACCTGTTGTCTTCCCCATTAATAAAGCAAGTCACTAGTTATCTCCACTTTATTCAGTATACTTGTTTTGGCTCATTGGAGAATACAGACTTTGAGCCGATTCTTGTGTTTTACTGAGACGCAAGTATACTTTCCCTCTTTTGATCGGTTTGAAATTCTTTGGTCTGGTTTTCTCGAATTTTAGTTTGGACAGACTGGCTGAATGAAAACAGGAGTCTGCATGCACTTTTTATTTCCATTACCCTCTGAGGCCCACCACAAGCCTGTTGCGAGTTTAATTTGAACGAAAACTGGTACACTGAGAAATCTGATTTCACATAAACGTAGCAACTTGAAGTCCCCGAACGAAAGACGCCGTTGCTTTACATCGTGATTCGGGGCAGCCTTTAGCATAGTGACCACCATCTCTGGAATGGACTGGTTCCTCTGTGCCCTTCTTATCGAATGAAAACAGTGTATTGGTGTAAGGCGTCTCTTATGTAACTAAGCAAAAACGTTTTCCCGAATCACGAGGCAAAATAGCCACAGCGTCTTAAATATGGAGAATTCAGATTATGTTCACGTGAATTTAACGAACTCAGTGTATGCCTACTCCATTTTTAGTCACATTTTGCACTCAAAATTCTTATTTCACTTTCACCAACCTACAATTTTAAATGGCTCAAACCTGTTATTCTTTGTTTTTAATTATTGTTATTATTTACTCGACTAGAAAAAAGAATACTTAACGATGGGTCAGGGGCACCAAAAAAAATTGAAGTCCACAGACCTGATACTCCGCTTCAGTGTGTACCTTAACACAATAAAATTGCACAACTTTTTTAAAAGACATCTAAAAGGGCACTTTTAGGAATATGAGATGCAAATCAAATGGAAGACAAACTAACCAGTAAAATACAAGAGAAAAACTGTATGTGTTTGCTGTTACCATTAAAATAAATTCAATACACCATTTCGGCAAATAAATAACAAAGTAATTAAAATAATGAATAGTACTAAAATTACAAATAAATGGATTACATTGTGTCTAAACCCATTAGGTCCTCATTCTACTTTTAAACTTTTATAGATCCCTATAGGTTGTGTTGTTTGATTTCCCGATATACCTCTCTCGGCGACCTGGTCCAGCTCGTTGCCCATTTCAGTCCTTGTTAAGTACACATGCCCGAGTGATAACCGGCAAACACACGGGCTTGTGCCTCAGGGTGCACTGCCCAATTCAAGGGAAATTCTTCGGCAGGCCGAGGTGCTCAAAAAGTACCCCTGCAGTTTATTTGGAAAAGAGGAGATTGTGTGGCCCACGAATTTGTGGGAGTGTGAAAGAATGGCCCAGAATGAACTTCCTAGATTCAAGGGCTCCCAACCCAGGGCGAAGCCCTGAAAAGTGCCACTGAAAAATTGTCCCAAGAACCTGAAAAGGTGGAGGGGTGTCACTTGAAAAATGGCCGCTGACGGACTTGGGAACGTTCACTTTTTGGAGGGTGAGTTTGTTTTGGGTGGATAATTAAAAATTTCATTGGTTAACCTACTAAACATTGAAAATCAATTGAGAGCTGAATGACCCCAGAACACTTTGTTTTTTGTTTGAGATGCCTGAGGGACTTCGGTTGCCCGCACCGGGGATGCAAACGTGGTCGATTTTACATTGTCTTCAATGGGGCTTCAGTTAGTTCAGTGCACCGCTCAGGACACAAGAAAGTACTTCATAGCCTTGCCTAGTCTTGTTTACAAGACCTTCCTGTTGTTTTATTTCGTTTTATTCGGGAACCATGAATAATACGACCCATCGCTGTCAGACGGCCCCTTCAACAAACTGCGCTCCAGTCATACTGGAGTAATACTTGGAGTAATAATTGGACGTAAATTTGGAGAAATAATAGCGTCTTCAATGGACCGATGGTGTCTGATATGTAATCTTCAACTGATCACATGTAAGCGATACCTCTCCATAGATGCAGCGAGTGCTAGGCTGAGTATAGATCCTGCATTTGTCATCAAGCTGTCAAAGCTTCCCAGTGTACTTGTGACGTATGTACAGTACCTGCACGTACAAACTTTACATAATTTTGTGCGTACACGTACATGTACAGTACATGTACATCCACACATGTACATGTACACACACGTCTGCTGGTAGTGCAAATAATACATGTAGGGTCTAGTCCACTAATTCAAGCCGAATTGAAAACAGTGTAAAATCAGCACTGTTCAGGCGGGGCCCAATAGCATGCACGCCAACATCCCTGAGATTTCTGAAACACAAGTTAAATTCTTGTCTGGTCACTTATCTTTTGATTTCTTTTCAATTTTTTGTGGGTTAACCAGTTACATTTTTAATTATTCCCACAAAACAAAA